TCTCTCTCTCTCTCTCTCTCTCTCTCTCCCTCCATCCCTCCAGGGCGGCCAGGGTGGCCGCGCGGGCCCGGCGCGACCTGGGGGCGGCCGCAGTCGTCGTCGTCGTCTCGGTCGCTTCAGTCGTTTTGGAGGTCGTTCGGTAGTCGCGTCGTCGTTTCGGTCGGTCTGGTCGTCGTCGTCTCGGACGTCGTCGCAGCTTCGCTCGGTTCGGTCGCCTCGGTCGTCAGTGCCAGTCGCCGTGTCGCCGTCGCTTCGTCGCCTCACTCGTTTCGGCCGTCGCATCGGCCATCTTTTCGGAGAGGTGGCGGGGAGGGGGAAGAGGACGAGGAAAGGGAGGAAGAATAAGTAGGATAAGGAGTAGGAGGAGAGGAGGAGGAGAGGAGGAGGAGAGGAGGAGGAGAGGAGGACTGAGGAGGAGAAGGAGGAGGAGAGGAGGAGGAGGATAATGACGAGGAAGAGGAGGAGGAGCCCAGAGGATGGGGCGAGCAGGAGGAGGAGGAGGAGGAGGAGGAGGAGGAGGAGGAGGGGCAGGAGGAGGAGGAGGAGGAGGAGGGGAGGAGGGGAGAGGAGAGGAGGATGAAGAGGACCTCACAAGCCGATCAACACGCGGCCGCTCGACCCGCTCGACGCCCCAGAGCTCGAACTCGATGAGCTCGATGGCAGGCAGCCCAGGCCTGCAGAGCCAAAGGGGGGAGGGGCGGGGAGAGGGAGAAGGATGAGGGGGGACAGATGAGAAGAACGACGAGCAGGAGGGGGGGGGGGAGGAGCGAGTGGAGGACCAGGGGAGGAAAGAAAGAACAGAGGGGCAGGAGGCGGATCAGGAGGAGCAGGGGGCGGATGAGGAGGAGAGAGGAGGAGGAGGAGGAGGAGGAGGAGGAGGAGGAGGAGGAGGAGGAGGAGGAGGAGGAGGAGGAGGAGGAGGAGGAGGAGGAGGAGGAGGAGGAGGAGGAGGAGGGGGGGGAGGAGGAGGAGGAGGAGGAGGATGGAACTGAGGAGGAGAGGAGGACGGAACGGAGGAGACGGAGGAGAGGACGAGAGGGCGAGAGGCTAGAGGACGAGGAGACGAGGAGGACGAACGCCTGCGGCAGCCGCCGGCGGCGCCTCGGGCGGCTGCGGCAGCGGCGCCGCCTCCGCCCGGGCGGCCGCCTGGGCAGCTTGGGGCGCCTCACCTGCCGAGCAGGCGCCGCAAGTCCGCCCACCCCTCACGGCGGTGCGCGGTGGGGCGGCGGGGGGGGCTTTGGGGGGCGTGGATGCGGAACCATTGGATAGAGAATCCATACTCGTGGAACTCCAATCGTCGATTGGCCATGGATCAACAGATCCATGGACGCACGGATATCGCAGCCGCCCTCATCAGATACCCAGCAGGGTCGCTGGGGGTGCCCAACTCCCCCCGTGCCGCCCCACCGCGCCGCGCTCGACATACATACATACATGCATACATACATACATACATACATACATGCATGCATGCAAACATACATACATACATACATACATACATACATATACAAATATACGTATGTGTATACATGTATATATACATGTATACATACATGTACATTATATAATATTTTCATATATGTGCATTATATATAAGTATACGTATACATTATATAAACTCAGTTCTTACACTCTATGGCTTTATATTATGCATTTATCTTCGCATTTATCTTGGGATGTGTATTTATCTTGACGTTTCTGTGGGCGTCGGCATTTATCTTGAACATTTCTGTGGGCGTCGGCATTTATCTTGAACATTCAACGGGCGTATTTCTCTGGGCGTCAACATTTATCTTGAACATTCAACGGGCGCATGACTTTATCTTACACACTGTACTCATTTTGTGATTCGTCGCTGTATCTTGCACACTCTTCCGATCAAACGAACGAGCGAAACGAAGCGTCACGGCCGCCACCCTGCCGAGCGAAACGAAGCGTCACGGCCGCCACCCTGCCGAGCGACCGAACGAGCGAAACGAAGCGTTACGGCCGCCACCCTGCCGAGCAAAACGAAGCGTCACGGCCGCCACCCTGCCGAGCGACCGAACGAGCGAAACGAAGCGTCACGGCCGCCACCCTGCCGAGCGAAACGAAGCGTCACGGCCGCCACCCTGCCGAGCGACCGAAACCTTTCGCTCCTCCTCCTCCCCCTCCTCCTCCTCCTCCTCCTCCTCCTCCTCCTCCTCATCCTTCCCCTCCTCCTCCTCCTCCTCCTCCTCCTCCTCCTCCTCCTCCTCCCCCTCCTTTGCCCCCCATCCTCTGTTCCCCCTCCGCTACCTTCTTGCCTCTCCCTCCCCGCGCCCCGGGCGGCTGGCGGGGCGGCGGGGGCGGGCCTGGCCGAACTGTTCGACGTCAAGGCGGGGGGCGGGGCGGCGGCAGCGGGGGCGACGGCAACCAGGGGGGAGGCAAGGAGGTCTTCGGAGCAGGGGAAGGGAGGAGAAAACAGAATACGGAGGAGCTGCGAGGAGGAATGGGGAACCTGGACGGGAGGTGGAAGCGGGGGCACTAGGTGGAGAAGAAACGGATACGATTGGATGCCAACGCGACCGCAACCACCTGATCAGTTATCGGGGGCAACGCGCCACGAGCTAACTAGCGTCGGGGTCAACCCAGATCAACGACGCCAATATCTCAGCAGTCTTGTCCCCATGGAACTTTGGATCCTGGGGGATACTCGGCATGTGCATCAGGATGCCTATCAGTGCCGCCGAGAAGGAAGCCCCGCAGAAAGCATCCCCTGCTAGAGAGGTCAAGGTACTGCGCGGCATCTCAGCGGCGCCTGGAAGGGCATCGCACGGGATGCATTGCAAGTTGCATAATTCCCATCCGAGGAGGAGCCTCCCTTCAGACCTTTTCCATATTGACGAGTGGGTCATCAGCGTGCTGCAAAGATGGTCGTCGCTGTCAGTAGGAGCTGCACCCTCGCCCGTGCTATCAAGCTGGGCGGCCGACGCGGCCGAGGGGCCCGGTTGCGACCTCGGGACGCGAGACACCGTCTGGGAGATGTCCAACGTCTGGGACTGTGGCTTCGTAGAGAGCAAGTACAGGAGGCTGAGCTGCTCGCGCGGCAGCAAGGTTTTGAACCACGGATTCTCTTCCACCTCGGCGTTCCTGATGGAGGAGTAGGAGACGCCAGACTTGCACATTTCCTTCAGCTGTCTCTCGTTCCAAGGGACAGTTCTCGAGCTCTGATCTGAATCCCTTGCCGCCCTGCGCTTCTCTGCAATGGCTTGGAGCTCATTCAACTCGGCTTGCAGTCGCGGGTGACCCACGGGAACCAGGATTCTCGACCAGGGGAGCGGGTTGTCGAAACCCACGCTCGCTGCCGTCTCCGTCATCTTCTTGAGGACCTCACCCGCTTCGTCGAACGTCAAGTCGAAGAAAGCCCACTGCATGACCAGGATGTACGCCCGCCTCCGACGCTGAGGAACCCACGATGCTGCATCAATGGCGACGTATTTGGAAGCGTATCCGATGCCAAAGAACGAATGCACAAACTCCTTCCAATTGCTGGATGAGGCCGAAATGAACTCCTCTACGTTTTCACATACAGCCAACGGGGGCCGATGGTGCTCACAATACTCATGGAAGTTCCACATCGTGGTAGCCGTATTGCTGGTTCCGTCCTTGTTGCGGACGGCGTGCTTGAAAGTAGATCGGGCGGCATTGGCTTTACTGAGGTCTTTGCAAGAGAAGCCGCAAGAAACTATGAAGGGACCGCCCTTGTCAGTCGGTACGTGGCAGCGCTTCCTGGCCTTGTGCGCGCAACAGGGAGCGCTGAAGTCCCCCATGTCCACCATCTCGTTGAACACGCAGGTCTCGCCGAACGGGGCGTTGATGACCCCCTTGAGCCACTTCTGCTTCGCGGAGTCACGCTCCACGTCGAAGAGGTTGCAGACGCCCCCAGGGGCATTCAGAGCCAAGACGAGGGTCAAGAACGCCAGGAAGGCCACGTTGCTTCCAGAGCACAAGGATGCCACGGTGAACTTGCTGAAAACGCGCGTGACCTGGGCGATATTATCTGCCATCGTCTTGGCGGCATTCGGGCACAGCGCTTCCAGCTTCTTGATCTGCCCCTTCTGGACCTCGAGTAGTAGGTTCTTCTCCGGGTCGCGCAAGGAATGGCCGCTGATGTTGCCGCGGCCGTGGCGCTGAGCGTTCGCCTCCTCCAGGAGGTCCCCATGCGCCGAAGCTGGGCGCTTCATGGCCGTGGGCTCCGAAAGACTGATGCAAAACGAACGGCCCAGAACGGCTGACAATGGCTCCGGATGATGCGCTGACGGTGGGAACGTGCCCGTCGCTACTGGAACGGGGTCGCCGGGCCGCTTGCCCTGGCATCCCGCCCCGAATGCATGGAAGTTATCTTGCATCTATTTCAGGGCCATATGGGTTTGAATGGGGAATGGGCAACGGCAAATAAAACATATGTAAGTCTAGGCACGCGGCATTGGCTCGGGGCTATGGGTGGGCCTTTGGGCTGGGCGGTTTACTTTGGGAATTTGGGCTGGATCTCGCGGCTGGGCTTTTCGGGTGAACATTCTGGCTGGGCTAATAACCTTGCTGGCTTAGGCTAGGGGCCTTGAGTCGGCCGATCGATCAATTCGACGGGGCCGAAAACCAAACGGAGGCTCACGTCTCAAGTGTCCTGGGGGAGTCCTGGAGGTCTCGGGAAAGAAGTCTTCAGTCTACGGAATTGAACCGAACGGAGCGGGATTTCAGGATTCACAACATGCAGCCGACCGATTACACATGAATCTTGCTAGCGCACCCCTGCGCCAAAGTATCGATGGGCGGTAACAGCCGCCCCACAAACTGGCCCCTCAGCCCGGCGCCAACGCTCCCTGCTGGCAGCAGCGCGCAGCGCGGCCCGCGGCCGCGCGCTCTGGCTGAAGGGCATCAAGCTGCCGTCTGGTGCAGCGCCTCCCCGCCTCAAGCCCCGTGCTCCAGTCCCGCCACGTTGAACAGACCTAGGTCGCTGGTCAGGCGCTCGGTTCTTTCTAGCCCGTCTTCTCTTTCTTATCTTTCTTCTCTTTCTTGTCTTTTTTCTCCTTCTTTGGTTTCCCCTCCTTGGGCTCCTTCTTCTCCTTGGGCTCCTTCTTAGCCTTGGCTGGCTTACGCTTCTCATCCTTCGCCCCGTTCTCGGTGCCCTTCTCGCCCTCGGGTGCGCCCAGGCCATCGGTCGGCACCTCGTTCCCTGCACCGCCGTCCTCTGCAGACTCGTCGTTGCCAAGGATCTCCTCGACTCGCTTAGCTGTCTCCTCAGTCAGGCAGTCACCTCCAAGCTTAGTAATGGCATCGCTGATGGCCTTCAAGTTCTTGCGAGCTGCAGCGCCGCGAGATGGATGGGATATCTGGCTCATGTTCACGAGGATGATGACCGCTGCCCGATTGATCTGGCGCTTGATGTTCTTGACGGCGATGTCGCCCTCCTCGAGAACCTCGATCTTGGCCTCCTTCTCGCCGAACGCGGTCAACACGTGGCAAAGCGACGTCTTGTCGGCATTCACCTCGTTCATGCACTTCTTGGCGGCCTCGGGGTTGAAGCTCTGCTTGAAGTCCTCGTCGGACCCCAGCTTGTCCTTGCCGTCGGCGCGGCCGGGCGGGTCGAATGAAGTCTTCTGCAACTTCTCCACGCTGGCTGCGTACCTCTTAACGTGGCAGTCGATCATCTCATTGGCCTTGCCGCGAATGGTGCCGCCATAGCGGATGACGAGGTCGACGGAGGCCCTGACTTGGTCGTCGTTGGTAACGTACCCCTTCAGAATGACATCGATCCTGTGGTGGAGGTCCTCGCGGGCGATATCCGCCACGAATTTCGCGTGGCGGTAGGCCGTCACGGCGAAGTCATCTGGCTTGGCAGACGGAGCAATACCCACGAAGTTCTGGATGTTCTCGGCCTGCGACATGAAGAACGCCAGCGGCGTCGTCAACTTCACGCACGCCTGCAAGAAAGCTGGAGTTCCAAACCATGGTAGCCATCGCAAGGTCTCCAATTCAGCTCCATCTGGGGGCACGACCACCACGTCGCCGGCAAAGGCCGACGCGAAGAACTTCTTGAGCACCATGGCGCCCTCCTGCTTCGCGGACTCTTCGACGCCAGCAGCCTGGATGCAATCCTGGATCTTCTTGTCGGCCTCCTCGGACATTGGCACGGTGGCACTGGAGAGCAAGGATTTCACCATGACGACCGCGCTCAGCCTGTCTGCCGCGAACTTATTCTCATCCTTGATGGCTTGGACTGAGCCTGCCAACTGCCTCCGATGCTTTGTGGCCCGGACGTAGCTCTCCCAAGATTTGAAGACGCTTGCCTCTGGTCCAAAATGATGTTCCTTGAACCCCAGGGCGACGACGAACTTCTCGAGCTTCTCAACCTCAGACGCGTCGCCGTCCGCGACCTTGCTGTCGCAGACCTTGATTGCTGAATCCACTTTGTCAATCAGGCAGCCGAGCAACTCGCTGTAGGCGCCGCGGTCGCGGTGCGTCACCTTGACTGTATTCGCATGCGAAGTCGCCCTCGCCATGGCAGCCTTGAACGAGTTCAAGGCCCCGGAGTCTGACTCGAAGACGTCGAGCTGGACCAGGGCGGCCTTCGCAATCTTGACGACCTGGCTCCTGGTCAGCATCTTCAGCTTGTCCTTGTTGACTTCTGCCAGCATGGCGACGAGCCCCTTGAAAGAGGCGACGCCCGCGATGGGATACAGGATGCTGTTCTCATTGACGTTCTCATGGCGAAGCGTGTCCAAAGCGTCCATGGACTCCTGCGCGGGATCAGGCTCCGCGGCGGCCTCGTGGTCCGAGAGCGCGGCCTTCAACGCCCTCAGGTCGTCGTGCGCCGCCTGCGGCAACGGGGACTCCTCTCCGACCAGAATGTCGCACAGCTCCCGGAGAGGCTCAACGAGCTGAGCTGGCTGCCTGACGTTTCGCCCCAGCGACGGCACCAGCTTCGCGAGAGCCAGCTCGACGACGTGCTGGGCGAAGTCCGAGTAGTCGGGCTCCTCAGCCCGCGGGCAGGGCGCAAAAAAAGGAGGTGGAGGAGGTGGTGGAGGGAGGAGGAAAGAGAAGGGGGAGGAGGAGGAGGAGGGGGGGGAGGAGAAGGAGGAGGAGGAAGATGGGAGGAGGAGGAGGAAGAGAAGGAGGAGGAGAAGGAGGAGGGAGGAGGAGGAGGACGAGGAGGAGGAGGGGGGGGAGGACGAGGAGGCGAGCGGTTCCATACTCTGCTCAGACGCGCAGTTGTGGAACCACCACGCGCAGAGGAGGAAGGAGGAGGAGGAGGAGGATGAGGAGGAGGAGGAGGAGGAGGAGGTGCAGCTGTGCTCAAGCATCTATTTGAGAGAAAACAAGCCGCTGCACTTAAGGACCCCTTAAGTGCAGCGAGATATTCTGCCGAAAGAATCAACGAGGGGGGTTGCGAGTCTGGGGGCGGAGGAGGAGGAGAAGGAGGAGGAGGAGGAAGAGGAGGAGGAGGAGGAGTTGCAACTGCGCTCAACCATCTGCTTGAGTGACAACAAGCCGCTGCACTTAAGGACCCCTTAAGTGCAGCGAGATATTCTGCCGGACAAAGTCAATGAGGGGGGGGGGGGGGAGGGGGGAGGGCAAAGGAGTCCGGGGGAGGGGGGGGAGGAGGAGAGGAGGAGGAGGCGGAGGAGGAGGAGGAGGAGGAGGGGTTGCATCTGTACGCGACCATCTATTTGAGAGAAAACATTCCGCTGCACGTATGGGCCCCTTAAGTGCAGCGGGATATTCTGCTCCAAAAATCAACGAGGGGGGAGGGGGGAGAGGCAAAGGAGTCCGGGAAGAGGAGGAGGAGGAGTTGCAGCTGTGCTCAACCATCTATTTGAGAGAGAACAAGCCGCTGCACTTAAGGACCCCTTAAGCCTTAAGTGCAGCGAGATATTCTGCCGAAAGAATCAACGAGGGGGGGGGGAGGGGGGGGAACGGAATCCAGGAGGAGGAGGAGGAGGAGTTGCAACTGCGCTCAACCATCTGTTTGAGTGACAACAAGCCGCTGCACTTAAGGACCCCTTAAGTGCAGCGCGATATTCTACCGAAAAAGTCAACGAGGGGGGGAGGGGGGAGGGGCAAAGGAGTCTGGGAGGAGGTGGAGGAGGAGGAGGAGGAGGAGGAGGAGGAGGAGGAGGCCTCCTCTTCCTCTTTCCTCCCCCTCCTTCCATCCTCTTGTGCGTGGTGGTTCCACGACCGAGTATGGAACCGCTCGCCTCCTCGTCGTCGTCCTCCTCCTCCCCCCCCTCTCCCTCCTCCCCCTCCTCCTTCTTTTCATCTTCCTCCGCTGCTTCCTCCGTGGCCAGTTTGGTTCAAGCCCAGCACGCCCCCCCACCACGCTTCTGCCCAAGAAGCCTGGGGCACGGCCGACGCAACTCGGAGATCGAAGAGCTCGTGACCGCCATGGAAGATCGGCTTCAAGTGGTTCATCCTGCCGTATTTCAGGGTCTCCATGACGTCCCTTCTCGCGCCCCAAGCGACGATGCCGGTGCAGCTGTCGATGCATTGCCTCCAGCTGGTCCCGAGCTTCTTCCAGGCCTCGCAGACGCTGGACCACTCGTTCTTGCCACCCTTCATGCTGCTGAAAATCTTCATCACGTTGGTGAGATCGAGCTTCAGATCGTTGACTTCCTTGGTGGCATTCTGGCTACCCTTCCTGCGCGCGATGGCGGTCTGGGCCTTGTTCGTATCGGTGAGCACTTTGGCAAGAGCACTGTGCAGCTCGTTGGCCTTAGTCTCGAAGGCTCTCTGCTGAGCGGCGTCGATCTGCGGCTCAAGGAACACCTCTGACCTAGGATCCCAGATCGGATGTCGCTGGCAACTTTCTCGACGTCCTTGAAACCGCAGCTCTGCAGCTCGCTGTCCGTGTCGTTCGTGAGGTCATGATGCTCGATAGGCGGCGACGGTCCCGGCTGCGGCGACTTCTCGGGCTCGCCCTTCTCAGGGGTGGTCTTCGGCAGCTTCCGCGGAGGTGCTCTGGAAGGTGGGGCCCTTGCCCTCGTGGATGCTGCTCGGCCAGCGCCGGCGCGGGCCCCGCTTGACTGGGCGGCATCCCTGGAAGGCTCCTCCAAGGCGCATAGGAACGACGACCCCGCGGCCGCCCAATCGCCAGCGCTTGACGACGTGCTGCCCGAGTCAGAACTCGCCTCCTCGTCGCTCGGGCCACCAACTTCGACGGCCACCGAGCCATTGCCATGGCCCGGGGCAGCGTCCAAGGCGATGAAGACTGCGTCTTTGGACAATGACCCGATGGCCTCCGAGGCTGCCTCAAAAATAACGGATTGCTGGTCGGCCCGCAAGACATCTTCGCCATTGTCCAGCTCCTCCTCGTCCTCAACTCCCTCGTACATCTCGTCCTCGGCATCCCACTCCCCGTCGGGTAGCGATCTGAAAGAAACTCCCCAGACCTTGCCGCCGGGGGCGCCTGGAGCACGGAGCCACTTACAAACCAGACCGTCTTTTTCAGGAAGGCGCCCCTTCGCCTCCTTGTAGCGCTCGGGAGTCATGATCTTCAGCGGGTTCTTGATCTTCGTAGTTCGGCCACTCTTCTTCAAAATGCGTTTGCGAGTCGTGCGGAGGCCCTGCATCTTGTCGATCGTGTTCTCGCCGTACTTCTTGCGATGGCTGTCGCTCTGCGGCTTGCAACGCTTGCCAGCGTTATGCGCTGCCAACCAACATTTCCCGCACTGGATAAAAGCGTCCTGGATGGTCTGATCCTTGGCCCTCTCCTCGAAGAACTTCCCCTTGGTTTTGAACTCAGTCTGAAAGCCGCCCAGAACCCAAGTTGCGTCGCACTTCAGACAGTCCCCCTTCGGGAAATCGTCGCTTCCCTTCGAGAAGACGATGTACTCATGTGAGGCATGGGGGCTCTTATCAGTGAACTCATTACGCTCCAGCCCTTTCACACCGCACATTTCACATGAATGGTCCTCTCTGGCACGCTTGCCCTTGCGACGCCTCTCGGCCTGTGCGGCGGCCCTCTGCGGCCCCTGCCTGCTGGTCCCAGATACGCTGCCAGGCATCAATGTCCGCAGGACCAAGGCGGGGCTCAGGGCGGAACTCAGGGCGCGGCAAGTCAGCGCCGCTTGCACAGACGATACACGATCCACAAAAATGGCCACGGCAGAAGGGACGCGTTGACCTCTCAGGGCCATGCAGGGGCCCTCGCGGGGCCATCTTGGAGTCCCCAGGGGCGTTCCCACGACGTCTTGATGGGCTCCGAGAGTACTCCAAGAGGGCATACTTGGTTGCTTACCATGTTTCCTTTTCTCGGACCGTCTTGGGGTCATACACGGGGCCCTCGTGAGGCCATCTTGGGGTCCCAGAGGCGCTCCTATGACGTCCTAGTGCCTAGTGGGCTCCAAGAGGGCTCCAAGAGATCGCCCAAACCATCCTTGTTCCTCTTCTCTAGTCCTCTTCAGGCCCCTCCCCCTCCTTGTCTGAGCAAAAACAAAAAACTGATTCCTCCTCCTCCTCGTCCTCATCCCCTCGAGGGGGGCCCCCCCCTCTTGCCCCCTGAACCAGCCCCTCCCCCCCCCACCCCCCGGCGGTACCCCTCGCAATTCGCACTTGGGACCCTCAGTGTTTCAGGCGTATCATGCTCATCGAGGCCGACGTGGGCCTAACGTATTTGCGAACCTCTCCCCAACCTGGGAGGGGGTGTTTCCCGAATCTGGTGTGTGCGTGTGTGTGTGTGTGTGTTTTTGTTTGTGTGTGTGTGTGTGGGTGTGTGTGTGTGTGTGTGTGTGTGTGCGTGCGCGCGCGGGGCCTTAGGGGCCCTGGGGGGGGGGGGGGGGGTACTTAGCGCGCGGGGGCCTTAGGGGCCCTGGGGGGGATTCAAGCACGTGTCCACGCACCCGTCGGAGCCCAAGAAAAACTCCCAAGCTAAACTTCGGTCGACCGCAGGCTGCGGAGATAAACTCCCGGGTTAAACCACCGCGCCGATTTAAAGGACCTTATCCGGAAAAAAAAGGGCTTATCCGGAAAAAATAAAGGCTTACCCGGAAGATAAAGTCTTTTAAGGACTTTGTTTTCGCACCCTGCGTGATGAGCGGAGTTTATCTGGAGGCCGCCCGCGAGAGCATGCTTTTATCTGGAAGACACGTGTGATAGCGATAGTTTATCTTAGTTTATCTCGAGCAATATCGGAAGACCACGTGCGAAGCGTCCTATGGAGTCTCTATCTTGAGAAGCGTTACACTCAAAACACACGCTCGGAACCGAGGCTCGCTTGCTTGCGTGCGCCCCGCCCTTGGGGTGAGCAACGACGACGGCGATGCGACGGCGTCGGAGCGGGCGGGGCGATCCTGCGCCAGCTGGTCGAACTTCAGAACGGCAGCCGGCAGGAGGCGATGAAGGGGGGGAGGGGGAGGAGGGGGGATCAGGGGGAGGAGCATGAGGGAGGAGGAGGAGGAGGAGGAGGAGGAGGAGGACGAGGATCACTGACCAAACTGCCAGGACTGCGAGCGGGCCACCATTGGGCAGTCCCTCGGGGCCGTTGGCCGCATTTGGGATTGCCAATGGGGGAGCCCATTGCTTGGGGAGACCCCAAGCAATGGGTCTGCTTGTGACAAGCAGACTCCGTGACAAGCAATGGGGATTGCAATGGGGGAGCCCATTGCTTGTCACGGAGTCTGCGCGCCGCTGTCCTCTCTCTCGTCGCTCCCCTCGCCCTCGGGTGAGTCTCCCTGGTGCTGCTGCTGCTGTCTCCCCCGACTCTCTTCCCCGCGCGCAGCCTGCGTCCTCGGCGAATCCCCCCACGCTGCGGCTTGGGCGCCGCATTGGCCGCCTGCCGCCGCGATAGGCAGGCGTGAGGAGGAGGAGGAGGAGGAGGAGGAGGAGGAGGAGGAGAGGTTAGACTCAAGATAGGCATGCCTCACGTGGCAGCCCTGTTGGGGCAGGACCTGACCATGCTTGGCGCATGACCTCTCCTCCCCTTTTTCCCCCTCCTCCCCCTCCTTTCCCTCCCCCCTCTTCCACTCGGGCGCCCAAGCCCACGAGGCCGATTCTACCCCGGCGAATTTCGGTTCCCGACCGCGCCAGGCGGGTGCCCATCGGATTCTACCCCAGCGAATCTCGGTTCCCGACCTCGCCGGGGGGGTGTACCATCGGCTTCTACCCCAACGTATCACGGGTCCTGACCGCGCCAGGCGGACGCACCATCGCAATCTACCCCAGCAAATCTCGGTTCCCGAACGGCGGCCGCTGGCGGCGCCGCTGCCAGGGTCGCCCAGAGAGCATGACTACGCGAAGCTCCGTCGCGGTCGGCAGGAGCCGATCGCGAGCAATCTAGTGCGTAGGAGGACGGGCGAGGCCGTTGTGGGACACCCCAGGGGGGAGGAGGGGAGCGGGAGGTCGGGAAGCAGGAGGTTAAGGAGCAAGGATCCAGTCTTTAAGTGAGCAGTATTCGAAGGATCCTCCTGGGGCCCCATTTTTTTAAACCACATTGTGTCACCCCGAGCTTTTGCACTACGTTCGGCAACGCCCTCGGGCCGAATAAATCAATCGCGTTCAATGTGTTTTGTCTGCTCGCAGCCGCCAGCGCAACTCCACCAAATAAACGTTCAGTGGGTATCTTGAAACCTGCCGAAATCAACCCCTGAGCTCATCCAACAGAGACGGAAGTCGAAGGCACAAACTGAATGGGGCAACTGCTGGTCAGACCAACGCTGCCGCAGGGGGGTCAACGACGACCCTCATTCTCAGAGGTGCATGCAACTGTCACCGAGCGTTATCCTCCTCTTCCTCCTCTTCCATCTCCACCTCCTCCTCCTCCTCCTCGCCCACCTCATCATCATCCTCCTCGAAAGGAAGCCCTGGCTCAACGCTCTTGCATCGATGCGGCGACGGCGTCGCCGCCGCCGCTGCCGAATGGCGCTGGTGAGCTGTCGAAGACGAGCTGCGCTGACTGGTAAATTAAAAAATCACTCATCCTGCTTCACCTCTTCCTCATCATCTTCCTGCCCTTCTGGACCGCCCCCCCCCTCCCTCTCTCCCCCCCTCCCTTCGCCTCTCAATCAAGACTTCGGGCTGCCAGCGCGCGACGCAGATTGCTAGGGAAACCAAATGGCCAGCGGGAACAGGCTCTGTAGGAGCAGCAACAGCAGCATGAAGAGGGGCAGGCCATGAGGATCGACAGCCCCAGGCCGGCGAGAGACGAGCGGCTGGCGGCCACTAGGCCCCGCCCCAAAAGCCCCGACAAGACCCTGCGAAGCTCAAAAGAGGAGACATGGCGTGACGCGACAAGCCAGAATCTCAAACGTGCCCCAGACCACCTGAGAGGTTTCCTCGAAAGTCCCAGATGGGCCCGATCCAAACCTTGACGGCCCCAGGGAAGGCCCTTGGGAATATAAATAGGATCGCATCTCAGATATCTCCGAAGCTTATTCTGTTCCACAATCATTCGTTCCCTGCCGACGAAGCTGACAAACGAACACAGGCAAATGACTCCAAACGCGCGAACAAAACAAAGCCCTACTCCTGGTCCGGCAACGTGTCCGGGAGGCTCTCTGTCATGGCCGTTGCGACCCTCATGGCACCGAAAAAGTTCGCCATATCCTGGGTGTCTGGGGTCAGGTCGATCGTATCCTGAGGCAACGTGTCCGGCGGCGTCATCGGGGTAGCTGGCGTCGGGAAATCTTGCTTCGGGAGCGCTGGCGTCGGCTGAGCTGGCGTCGGGAGCGCCGGCGTCGGCAGAGCTGGCGTCGGGAGAGCTGGCGTCGGGAGAGCTGGCGTCGGGAGAGTTGGATGCTGGCGCGCGCGCTTGGCGGGCGGCTCAGCTGCTCTGTCTGCACTGTCTGGGTCGGTCGCTGCTGCTGCTTTGTCTGCGCTGTCTGGGTCGGCCGCTGCTGCAGCAGCTGCTTTGTCTGGACTGCTGAGGTCGACCGCTGCTGCTGCTGCTGCTGCTGCAGCTGCTTTGTCGGCATCTCCCACCACTAGTGGAGGTGGGGCCGATGCCGCGCGAATCTCCGCAGGGATGTTGAACTTGTACTGGCGCGAGCACTCCTGCGGCAGATTCAAGATCTCAATCTTGAGCGACAAAGTGGGTTGCAACTGCTCGAGCGGCATGGCCTCGCAATCAAGGCTATCCGCTCCACGCGTGAATATACTCGAGCCTCGAGCCACGTTGCTACAACAATGGGGGGGCCTGGTGAGACCATGGGGGGCCCTATTCGATGCTCGAGGCCATGGGGGGGGGCCTGGTGAGACCATAAGGGGACCATGTGAGACCATGGATGCTATATACGCGACCCCTATGCTATAAGTGCGATGGTCGCCCATGGGGGGCCTGGTGAGACCCAAGGTTCCCGCGTGATACTTCCTCAAATTCCCAAGTTTGTTTGCATACCTTGCGTGGCCCTTTGAACCCAAGACATGAGCTGCGGGCGCCTTTGGGAGAGGGCCCCTGCCGGAAACCTCCTCCAATATCATTTAGAAATCAAGCTCCCGCGTGAGACTTCCTCCAATTTCATGCCACAACTCAGAAGCCATGTGGGCGAGGGCAAAGACCACGTGACACGAGCAGAGACCACGACTCACGACTTGGCAAAGACTGCTGGCCGCCGGCAAAGTCACTGGCAACAGTTCTGGGATGACGGGGGCGCCCACAATGGGAGGGTGAAACGGCTTGCATCCAATGGGGCGCTGGGCGTCGAAGCGCACTAGCACGGCCTAAATGCTGGACGCCCCCCTCCCCCCCCGCCATCAACGCCGGGGGGCCGAAAAAACAGAAGACAGAATGCTGGAGTGCTCTGCCAACGCAGAAGCGAGTGGACTAGAAAATGCACTCGCGAGGCGAAGGTCTCATGGAATCGCCCGCGCCACGCTGCGTGCCAAATGCGACGCCAGAAATGATCTCGTTCACTTCGTGTAAATCAATTCGTCGAACTTCCTCTCGCGTTCTGCTTTCGAGCCGCACTCCGCACCCCACCCCCACATAAGCCACAGGATGGCACCCTTCTCCGTGGGCCCCCGACTGACGGCCTTCCCCCTGTAGCACTGGTGCTTGCGACAGTAAAGCAAC